ATTGTAATTGTAGTTCTTTGTGGAAACATTACATGTAAACCAAGCCATGCCAATAATGATTCATCTGGATCTTTTTTTCCTCTTCATATACAGGTAATTTCCGTAAATGTTACGAGAAGTTAAGGAGTACAGGAAATAGTTTGATCTTTAGAATGATACTTTGTTACTGAGCTCACAAGGACTCCACACAAACACAGCAGGGCACCTATATGCCTTCTGTTGTAGGACTGGTGCCTAAATGACTATCCTGAAGATTTTCAAGTGCAGCAGCAACATTATGCTAGCTAAACTTGTTTTACTGAAAAACAAAGCACAGTTAAGAGAACTGCAGCAAAAGGAATTAATTAGCTCAGCTGTACGAAGTTCCAAGAATCTTGTAGCACCCACATGTATGTGAATGGATTTTGTGTATTGAAGCTTCCAGTTTCTGGGAATGAAATTTGTGAAGAGCCATATCCTCCCCCTGTTCAGTTTTTTAGAACATACCTCTCAGCCCAAAGGATGTATTAATTCAGAAACACTGGTGAATTAATCCCTTTAAATTAAAGAACTCTTCCAATAATCATTTCATAAGACTTTGTTCATAAGGTAAATAATTTTTCAGCAGCAAAATTGCAATTTAGGAACATCAGTTTTGTGTCACACATACTATGTTGGGAGTGACATATTTCAAAATGGGAAGCAGGTGAGGAATATTTTTCATAAGTCTTTTATGTCCTATAAAGTGATATAGGCTTAGGTTTTTTTTAAAGCTGTCTCTTGGGATCAGGAGTTGTAGATTGGAGTACCCTTGATTAACTCTGAATCAGCCCTTTCTGTTTAATTACTACTTAGACATTATTCTGTTCCTTGTTAAATCTGTTGCAGCTGGTGTGAGGTAACTTGTCCTTCCTTTTTGTGTTTGCTAGCGACTATCTTTACATCTTAGTTACACTTCCTGTCATACAAAAAATATAGTTTCAACTTTCAGCTTTCCGTTTTATAATACAGAATTATATGTGGAAAAAAAATTTAAAAGCAGTTTTTGTAGAGCCTTATAGATGGATAGTCTGGGAGGATTCAAGTTAACAGATGCCTATATTTAATGGCAGCTAGTGCCTACATTTAATGGAAGTTTGTTAAATAAGATCTCCTTCAATAGCCTGAATTTCCCTGGATTTTACTTTTACTGTACAGTTGCTTGAGAACCTATTTTAGCAACAATGATCCTAAAGGCCTTGTGCTGCCTCTGATAAAATCTAGGTGTAATCTGTTTGTATTGTAGGGTCCCTGTTTTCTTAACATGTTTTCTTTATCAGAGAGAAAACTGTGAACACCAGGCACCATCTGTTGTCTGATCTATAAGTTTCATTTTGCATTAGTTTCTGCAAGCATTGCCTGGAGGGTGGAATTATTAAAAACCAAAGTGAGTGAAATCAGCAAACAGGAAACTTTGATCTCAGAAATTGTAATCTTATTTTGCATTTTGCATTCAGCTTCCTTTTTTTAAGGAAAATAAATTAATTTTGTATTGGTTTGTTAATAAAACTATTGAAACATGTTTGTCCAACTAAATATAGTTTCACACTAAATTTGGTATCACTTTTTGTTAACGGTAAGATGCACTACTTTGATGATAATTTATATAAGTAATTATATACCTTCCAGTGAATTTATTCTGATTTGTAACTTTTACCTTTTTATCATATTAGATAAGTGTGAATGACAGATTTCTACGTTACTAGAAGATATGTTTTTACTCAGGATGTGTGTCAAACTGGATGTGGTTTGTTTGGCATTGAAGTCAAAATGCAAATTAGTATTTTAGTATTTTTTTACTAAGGAAAAACTTATTTTTAATCCACCAACTTTTTTCTTCCTTATATTGAAAGTGACTGATTTAATAAACAAAGTGATTATTGAATTAGAGTTAATAGATTAATGGTTTGTTTCAGGTGACAATGGGCCATATGTTCAAAGATATTTTGGTGCCTAAATGTGTAGATTAAGTGCATGCTGAAACTTCCAAACGTAGCTCTTTGCATCTTTTAGTTGACTAAAGGTTTTTTAAAATCTGCCCCTAGGTTCTTTGGGTTTTTAAGAATTAGAAAAGTTTGTCCTCTTCCACATGGTTTTTATTCATAGATTGGGAAAAGAAAACAAACTTTCAGCTTCTAAGTAGTTATCAATTTTGAATAAGTCCAAAAGGAGCAAGTAGTAATTCTGTACTTGCTAGCTAAAATTAAATCAAAAGTTATTAGAGCAAAAGCATGTCTGAAAACAGAAACTAGCAATGTATTGCGGAAACATGTAAATACTAGCATTCACTCCATTGTAATAAAAAGTACAAGTCATTCTAGCATATTTAGAAAGTTAAGTTGACATCAAAAACCAAAGATGTTTTTCCCTCTAATATTATATAGGCGAAGGGTGGTGACAAAGAGGATGGAGCTAGACTGTTCTCAGTGATGGTAGATGACAGAACAAGGAGCAATGGTCTCAAGTTACATCAAGGGAAGTTTAGATTGGATATTAGGAAAACCTTTCTTACTAGGAGGGTAGTAAAACACAGGAACAGGTTACCTAGAGAGGTTGTGGAATCTCCATCCATGGAGACTTTTAAGACCCAGGTAGCCTTGACTCGGATGATATAATTAGGGATGGACTAGATGACCTCCTGAGGTCCTTTCCAATCCTAATTTTCTATGATGCTATATAGAATTTTAAAAGACAGTATGCCACTAAAATTTGAGGAGAACTTGCTTATACAGAAGATGAGTCCTCTTAAGTTAATAGAGTAAGTTTAGGTCTTGAAATAAGTTGTCATAATATCAGATTAAATTCTGAAAAGAAAATAATACTTCAGTAAAAAGCCAATTTAAATAAATAAATCAAATGTTTATTTTATCATCTATTTTTTATCCTCCTTGACTTCTGCTTTAATATATCCTCAAATTATATAGGTCCTTTCATTTTTATAGTTGGCTTTTAGTATCATCATTTGTTTGGGCTACAGTCTGAGTATTCTTTCAAAGGAATCAATTTCTGTCTAATCACTGAAATGGTTTCATATGCAGCCCTGGTGATGACGGAGACTACATCCCACTTAAATATTAGACTATTTTTTCTTGGTCTTTTTGAGCAATGGACTTCTGTCAAATTTTAGAATTTGCTATTGATCAGTATTCAGTTTTACTGTTCAATGTTTAACTGAAAAGGGGTGGAGAAGGTGTGATTTATAGGCCATTAACCATGCCCCCTAGTGGAACACCAGTGGTTAATGGACCACAGGATAAGATTATTGAAACGAAAATGAAAAAATAAGAAAAATATGGTTCAGCTACACTAGGGAATATCTAGAAGTCAGTAAATTCTTTGGCAAGATACAGACTACACACTAACTTGGACCATGGATGTGTACCAGTTTTCACTTCTCATCAAGAGACCCTTACTAATTTGCTATATAAAAGAAACATGTTGCTCCATTGTACTAAGTGAGGTGAAATTCACACTTGTATGGAAAAGCTATGCAAAGCCTTATGCAACACTTCCTTCCTGCTTAATTTTTTTTGCTTCATTTTAAGGATTTTAAGTTGTGTGTGTGAAATTGTAGCAGATGGCTTCAAAGCTTAGTAGGGGCTCAGATCTTCCACTTTCTCCCCTGCTTTGAAATGATTAATCATGTTGACTTTTTAGGCTGTCCTCAGGCATTCCCCCAAAGTTAAAGCAGATGTAAGATGAATGCTGGGAATTTTGACCTCTGTCAAAACTCTTGAGCCAAATTATGCTGTTAGGTATTTTGCTGCAAATTCAAATTAAAAGCCGTCCATTTTTTTTCAGACTTTCAGTGAGTTCTGGAAGATAGTCCTACATTGTGCCATGTGTGTGTCACATTGGAAGATTTGGTTCTCAGTCATGATGACCTATGTATTTTAAATGTAATAAAAACAAAATTTTAAGATTTCAACTGGTATAGGAGATGCAGCATCTCCCAATCCTCTTTCTGAATTCATTATTGGACATGGTACAACAGCTTTGGGGCTTCATTGTACAGCAGGTGCCAGTATTTAAAATAGCAGGTAATTGTTGGTCTAATCTAACGTGTGAATTTGAACCTATATAACTTACATGGGGAAAATTACTCTGGTATGGAAGTGACATTTTTGGTTTATGCCATTTCTGGAGGAGTTGAAGCCAAACTATAATGCTTTACCTTATACTTCTGTGACCTGTTTGATTTGTACCCATTGTTTTTGTGGGTCCAGGCATGCAGGAAACAGCTTAGCCATTTAAGGGTCATACTGAGAAATAGCAACAGGCTGTTCCAGTGCTTTACACTGGTCTCTTACTACCTTCTCACCTGGTCTTCCTGTTCCTCTCCTAGATCTTGCCTCCATTCACCTCCTTCCCTGCCCTGTCTTATCCCCCAACTGCTTTTCAGTTCATGACCTCTTGCTTCTTGCCTCTGGCTCCTGGTTACTCATCTCAGCTCCTGACTGTTTGTTGGGATTGCTTTCCAGCCCGTGGGATGAACCATTCTGGTTCTGACGTGAACTGAAAACAGCCACCCCTGTATTGGAATCAAAATTGGGCCAATATAAAGAGTTGAATAAATAGAACTATACCATTTTTGACTGTACAGATATAATTATACCAATGTAACTGGTAACTCTTTCCTCAGTAGACTAGCCCACAGTTCCCAGCCTGCAATAAGTTCCAGAGAGGATTGTATCTGCTTGTGCAAAATTCATTACAGAATTGACGCCTTATGATCTGAGTTTTGTTTACACTAATGCCCATTATATTTGCTTGTATTTTAAGACCTTTTTACATTACCAGCGTGGTATAAAGAGATCTTGGACTTCAGATTTTCCACTGACAGACTGCTGTTTTTCAGCTGCTTTGGTATTGGTCAAATAGGGCATTTCTCACTGTCAGGACACTGTAGGTTGAATGCTTCTTAATTTTAATAATTTAAACAATAATTATAGCTAACTCTTATTTTTCCTGTTGTTTTACAGGCGGATTTAGAAAACAAACCAGTAAATGGCCTCAGACCAGAACCCATGGAATGCAGTATATGTGGTCATGGTGAAAAATACAGGGTGAAAACAAGCCAAACACTGCCCTTTGAAAATGTACAGTCTAATGAAAAAGAAAGCATGACAGGCTTAGAAGCAGAAAAGTGGACAAATAATGAGAAACCGTCTTTTGGTGTCCATGTCAATGGAGATCTCCATGGAACTGTGACAGGGAATGAACACTTGAAAAATTCTGAAGAAGGTGAAAAAACAGTCTCTCCCAGTGAGTTAGTTGAGCCAAAAAAGATTTTTGCACAAACCATCAGAAATGGCCTCAAAAACATACATTATTCACCATCAGAATCAGATGCATCACTGAAAAAATTAACTGTAGAAGAAAGGGCAGATTTGACAAACAGCTGCAGAGAAAACAACTCCCATAATACACACTGGACAAACACTGCTAATTTGAATAATATTGTGAACGCTTTGACAACAAGTGTTTGCTGTATTCATCCAGAAAAACAAGGAGGTGTTTTCATGAGACAGAAATCAAACTCTACCAGTAAAATCTTTCAAAGTTCTGATGATAATTCAGTTCTGCAAAGCAATTCCATTGAGGATCCACAGGAAAGGGCATGCTGTACCCCTGTGCCCGAAACAGTCCACGTAGAGAAAGATGCAGTTAAAATACCAAACAAAAAGACACAACATGAAAATTCCACACTTCAGCCAACTTTTTTGTCTCTGATTAAAAACAGAAACTTAACTGTAGAACAAGTAGTAGCTATTGAAGCATTAACAAAATTATCAGAAGTCCCATTAGAAGCTTCAACACCAACTAAAACAGAAAGTATTGATCATGTAGAACAACAAACAACTTCCCATCTACTCCACCATTCCAAAACGGACATTTCTTCTGCCTTGACATCTTCTACGTTAAAGGAAATCAAAGATGCATTTTTACAGAATGAACAGCAGCTCTTGTCTCACCATGCTGATTCAGAGAAACAGTTCCTTAATAAGGCAGTGTTGTACAATGGCCAAAGTACTGTTTCAGAATTGCATAATAAGTCTGCCAGTAAGATTGATGGGTTATATAAATCTCATTTAGGTCCCAGAGATACTAAGCTTTTATCTGTTTTAGCAACTAATGCAAAATCATCTTCAGGACCTACTGCCAAGGAAAAAAACTCCCTCCATGAAAAAGTTACCATTGCTCCATGTTCTAACAAGTCATGTAATATCCAACAAATGAGTAATAAATTGGAGATTCTTGGCCAGTTAGAAAAGAAAGATCATAAGTATGTGAACTTAAAAAGTAATTCCATAATTAAGGAAGGAGGAATTCACAGTCAGGATGAAGAAGATGTAGCTACACAATTAACTCAACTTGCAGCAATAATTGAATCAAACCAGACAAATCCAGAACAGCAAAATGATGTAAAGACTTCACTTCTTAATCTTATATCACATGAGATGCAACCAAAACATAACCAAGATCAATACCTACTGCAGAAAAAACAATCTGTATTTATAAAGCACAATTATAATTCCTTGCTGGTAAAGCAAAAACATCCGGCACAAAAAAAAGGAAAAAATGCACCATGGAAACAAAGACACAAAAAGAAGCCTCAAGATACAGGCTATCAGCAAAGTAATGAAAAACAGCAAGAGCAGTCAGCATGCCAGCATAGTGAGTTGCAGGATGTTTGGATGTCATCAAAACTGTGCGGACTTGGTCAAACCATGTCACAGGATTCAAAAATTGCTGCATCAGAAAAAAAATCTCCCAGAACCAAAGTCCAGAAGGCACTAAATCAAAGTACTTTATCACAGCAAAAACATAAATTATTTCTACCACAAACTCAGATAAAAATCCATAGACCTTTACCTGAGGTACTACAGGAGAAAAAAAAAGACAGGCTGTTTGGCTGTGAAGTAGTAACTGAGCAAATCAAAGCTGTAAGATCCAATGATATGTTAGGTATGGATCTACTGAAAAATGACACTGTTGTTACCTGTTCACAGTATGGTGAACTTGCTTCCAGTAATCCAATGGCTGCTTCACAATTAAAAACAGAATCCTGTTTGAATAAACCAAGTGAAGACATACAGATGTTTACAGAAAAAGATGATAATTCTCAGGTACAGCAAACAACGAATGTCATTCAGACACATCCCTTGTCTCAGACACTTAATCAGTCTAACCAGAGAGTTAGTGAAATATATTGTGAAACCCAAGCAAATTTTTCACAGAGTGCTATAGGGCAAAAAGTGGATCAGCACTTGCAAACACCACCTGTTACTTGTGCTGAAGCCCACTTACCAGATGCAGTAGAACCTCTCAGGAATATAGAGTGTGCAGGTGAAGTTACAGTTCTGACATCAACAAGTTTGGGTACTGATAAGACACAAAGTATAGGAGACTCAAGGTGTTCTCCAGCAAAGAATACACTCAGCAGCTTTCTTGAATCTCCTATGAAGTTCCTGGACACGCCTACAAAAAATTTAATAGATACTCCAACAAAAAAAGGACAGTCTGAATTTCCAACCTGTGACTGTGTTGGTAAGTGTTTTTAGACATATGTCAGGTATCCAGGTTGTAGCTGTACTGGTCTAGAGGAAAAAGCAATCAGGACTTGTAGTAGAGATGATAACTTGCAATTAAATAATTTTTTTTGCAAAAATCTTGTTGGTCTAATAAATGATATCATCTCTACTACAAGTCCTGATTGCTTTAGACATACATATTTCACATTATGTCTCTTAACTTTGGAAAGTTCCCTTTACATGTTTTCGTTTTGTGAATATTGTCCCCTGTCTCCCTGGGTTTCATTGTTTGAAGGGTCCCTGATGCTTTGTTCCTTGGAGGAGGGGGGAAAGGTGCTCCTCTTTACCCTTTCCCTCTAATGTGGATAACTTTTGGGGCATTTAAACCTGCTCACTGCAAGGTAGAAAAACTCATCAGGTAAGTGTAAGCCTTAAGGGTAAGGATGTAAGTGTGAACAGGAACAAGAAAGGGCATTAACATTCTGTGTTGATATGCTTCAGATCATGAAGTCATTTTCATGTGATGACAAGGAAATTTTGTCTTCCTTTAGCTACAGGGCAGGCTTGACAAAAGATGGGGGCAGGTTTGATGAGCTTTGATCAAAGGAGCAAAGTGGGGCACAGGTTATGGTGGTTATGGGTAATGGTCTTTACTTATCAAAAAAGCAATTAAGGACCTTGCAAAAGGATTATGAATGCCTGTTATCCCAGAATCTGAGGGGACAGATGTTCATCTCGCCTGTAGTGCTACAGAAATGGTGCCTGTGCTACAGAAATGTTCCTGTTTGAAATAGGACCTTCTGTGTATTGCTGTGGCATATGTAACATCTGTACAATTGCATGTACTATGGGAGGGGTCCTTCATACCTCCATTATCCCACAGTGCTTTGCCCTCTCCCTCCACTCCCCTTCCAAGGGCTGGTAGGATGGAGAATTGTGGACTCCTTGACAGCCCTCTGCAGTAAGCTGTCAGAGTGCCTGCTACTGGTTTGGCCACTAGCAGTAGCTAGTTGTTAGACAGCCTCCCCCTTCTCCCCACCTGCAGTGGGTGAAGAGAAATGTTGCTCTGGAACCCAGAATACCAGCTGTTAAAGGTAGCCTGCCCTCCCCCAGGCTGGAGAAGGTGAACTGGGTAGGCTGTCAGTAATCATTAGGTTTGCCTTCTCTGGCAGAGGAGAGAGCAGACTGTCAGTGATCGGGTTCACAGATGGGCTCCCTTGAGAGCAGGGGGAGCAAAGGAACAGCCTTTTGCTCCATGACTGAAGAGCATGCCTTTGTAGCAACTTTTTGACACTCAAGATGGGGGGTGAAGGGGTTCTGAATGTGTATATACCCACATAATGCTATATTTGTGTTGCCCTACAGATAGATGTGTGTTCAAGGCTTAAGTGACATTACAAATTGTACCCATGGGGTGGCTTTTTGCTGCTTTAAATAGAGACAAATCTTTCTTACAGGATATGGTAGGGGAAGTGAGGGATGTGGATTGTGGAAGGATGGAATGACAATCTGCAAGGGGTAGGCAGGAGTGAGCCCACAGATCTTCAAGATCTTGCAGGACAGGAAAGGACCAGGTCTCGGGGTGGTCAGGAAAGGATTTCAGTGTTTCAAACTAGTCTTTTTTTTATTTGGAGACTATGCAAGGTGTCTTACAGGTTTATAGGTGCAGCTTAACTGGTGACCCTAGCAATAGAAAACCACAGGTGAGAAAGAAAGATGCACACTGGAACGTTTTTTATTATCCGGACCTTAATTTCTGGTCTTGTAGATAAAATACAAATGGGGAGTTAGGAGATCTGGGTTCTTTTCCCAGATCTGTCCTGTGTGACTATGGGTTTTGTCTCTCCCTGTTTAAAATGAGCTTCCAGTTCCACTGTTTAAAATGAATTAATAGTACTTCCCTGCTTCACTGAGTATTGTGAGGATTCATTCATGAATATATGTAAATAATGTAGATTATCATGGAAATTGCTATAGGAGTGCAAAGTATTAATGTTGTTGTGTGTTTATAATTTAGAAAAAAATCCATGAGTAGTTTAATGGATGATAACAAATTGCACATTGTATTTTATTCATTCTTTAAGGTATCTGTTAATATACAAATCATTAATCATGATTAAAGCCTTTAAGATTTTATGCATTTAATTTGGGAAATAACCCAATAAATTAATGTGTTTAGGTATTTTTTAACATTGTGAATACATTTTGTACACAATCAATTTAATTTTCTCATTCTTCCGGCAGAGCAAATTATAGAGAAAGATGAAGGCCCATATTATACACACCTTGGGACAGGACCAAGCATTGCTGCTGTCAGGGAAATAATGGAAAACAGGTGAGAAAAAAACAGTGCAGCATGTAGTACTACACATATTTTATTACTTGCAAAAACAAAATAAATACAAATATAGGAAGGGTGATTGAGCATGTCAGGGTCGCAGGGGCAGCCATGGTGCCCCCTGATGACTTTGCAACTGTGCCCTGCTCAGCCTCTAGGGTGTCCTCCTTTCTGTCTTGGCTCCCCACACCTTGATGAAATAATAAGATAAAAAGGTAGGCTGCCTATGGGTCTTCACGTGGGCCCCACTGGGGTTCCCCAGCACCCTATTGGTTTCTACTATACTATTTCCAGGACCCTTGCTGGGCCTCTCTATGACTGTGCCACTGTGGGGCACCTACAACCTTAAGGGCTAATTGTGTGGCTCTGTTCCTTCCCTACACCATGCCCCAAGCCTCATGGGTGTTACTGTGATGTTGTTTGCCTGTTGGAGTTTCAGCCTCCTTAACCGCCACCCCTTTCCTCTTAGCTAGGCCTTCTAGCCCAGGCCTACTGTATCGGACCTGGCGTTGAGGCACCATCTCTAGTTAGCCCTTTTGGGCACTGGGCCCTTGGCTGTGCCTCTCTTGGGCTTTTGGCCACTGGCCCCTGTGTTGCTCTGTGGCTTCACATGCTGCCCAGTCTGGGCTCAACCCTCACTTGGGCCTTGAGCCTGCCCCTAGCAGGGCTCAAGGTGATTGTGTGCCCCACATGCACTACTGGGATCTCTGTGTACCACGCCTTATAGTCCCAACCCATACCACCAGTTTAACTTCAACACAACCTAAAAAATAAGCCCCTGGGTTAGAACATAAACACCAAAAGGGGTAACAGCCCCCTACCCCTTTGAGGAAAAACTTTCCCTCACCTCTCAGCTAAGATAGCCTCCAAGCCCTGGGCTACATTCTGGTGAGCTTCCCAAGCTTCACTGGTAAATCATATGCAACACCGCAATCCCTTCAGGAGCCTTGCTGCCAGGTGCTCTTCCCCTTGTGGCTGCCAGGGAGAGACTGCCTGACCAGCTCAGGCGCTGGCCTTACATAGCTCCAGAGTGAGTAAACCCCCGTCCAGTCAGGCGAATCTCTCATTAGTTCCCTGCACCACCTGCAAGCAGCCTCGCAGGCTACTAGCTCCATTAAAGGAGCAGGCACACCCCAGTGCCCTGCTACTGTGAAGACAGAGGATAGATTTGCCTGCCTTTTTGCATTATTAATTTGTACAGCACCTTCCTACTCTCATGGACATGAATTGAACAGCTGCATCACATCATCTTTTCTTATCTTTTCATAACTTCAGTAGTTTTAGGTTCAATCCTGCTGTGACCTGAGCACATTCAATACCAATTAAAGTCAGTGGGGATGAATGTTAGTACCTTGCCTGGTTGAGCTTACAACAATCCTGGCTGCAGAAAAACAGGCCACAGCAGAAATAGGTCAATCTAATAAACAAATAAGGTATTAGAATGCATTCACTACATATAGAAATTGAAGAGATGACCTCTTCCTCCAAAATGACACTCCTTTAGGAGCAGTCCTTTCTTGGAAAAAAGAGTGAAGCACTTCAGTGTGCACTTTGATTTTAGACAGCTGTGCTTTTTGACAACCTAAAGTAGGTATTTTATTTCTATCTAATTCAGAGCTTAGAAGGTCATAATGTCTTTAAAACAGATTCTAGATTGTAATCGTAACATTTTTTTTTCTTATACAGGTATGGAGCTAAAGGAAGTGCTGTAAGAATAGAGGTAGTGGTTTATACAGGGAAGGAAGGAAAAAGTTCTCAGGGGTGTCCAATTGCCAAGTGGGTAAGTTTTTCTGTTGCAATAGTAGAATTCAGTTTTATTATGATGTTTAAATTTGACTGATGTTATAGTTTTGCAGTAGAACAAGTACGTGGTTCTCCATTGTGTATCTAGCTTTTCATAGGCATCTCCTTGACTGTTTGAGCTTGGGAAAACTTAAAATTACAATATCTTGTAATTGAGTTTGTTATAGAAAGCGACAAAGGCCCTTACAAGAGTTAGAAAAGCAACCAAACCAAGGGCAGGAGGGTCATAAGAGTGTCTGAAAGGCAGAGTTAACTAAGACTTCATACACAAGTTCATATGATTTGGGAGAGTTCTCCTGGTTTTGTTTTCCTGGTAGAAGAATTTAACTGTTGATGCCTGAACAGACATTTGAATTCTGAGTCCCTAAAAGCAGAAAGCTTGCAGTACTGATGCTGCATAGCTACAGGGCCTTTGTGCACACATCTCAGCGTGCTCTGCAGGCTCTGTCAGTCTGCTTGAAGGCAGATGGCTGCCCTGTGCAGTGCTGCCCTGATCGGTTGAACTAAGCTATTCTGGGTCAACGTGTGTTTCCCTGAAGCTTAATATGGAGCTTGTGAAAGGGACATATTCTGCTCCCTGTTCAGCTGAAGCAGTAGAGTACAAAGAACAACACACTGTCTTCCGGGAAGGGGTGGGGGAGGGTGTGAAAAAAGCACCCTGGGATGCTGGAATTCAGTGCTGTGGCTTTTTTCAGAAGATAATGTTTATAAACACTGGCTATCCCAAGAGAAGCTCTCCCATGAATAATTTAGCTGTGGTTGTTCCCAGGTTATTTTTCTCCCAGAATATTCATTTTTGCTGTGGGAGAAAAATCCTGAACATCTGTACACTTTGGTTTCTACTGGGAGAGCAGTGACTCTCCCAGGAGAACCTGAATGTCTGTACATGGCATTGTTATTGTGAGTGAAGGATATAAAGGGATGTATGGTTGCTCTCATGAGCTGAAGTGCTGTGCATTAACATTTTAAAACCACCTCTCAGTTCTCCTAATGCCTAAAGATAACAAAATGATAAAAAGATAACAAAAGAAGTGAATCAGGAAGTTCAGCTTAATCTACTATCGAGTTCATTACTATCTTTAGCAAATTTTTAGAAAGATAGATGTTATAGTGTTAGTTTTCACCCTAAGTATTGTAGCACTTATTGTTCATGGGAGCCAGGAAATGAAGAAACAAAAATAAACTCCAGGAAAAGTTGTAATAAAAATGTTTTTCATTATTCTTGCTGGAACCCCTGGTATATGCAGAAGTAGATTTTCAATCTGGCAAAGTAGGTTTAGGAAATTTGCATGATTTCACTGGTGGTTGTTTCAGAAACATTATTGTTGCCTGTATAAGACCATGCAGTTGCAAGTAGATTTGGAAACCTATTTTATATTTGAATGTTTGGAGAAAATATATACACAGTATTTATAGTACTCTCTGTGGCAGTGCACAGATAGTATTATAAATACTTTTTTAGACTTAATAAGTCTTCCTCACAGAGGGTGCATTGTGTGTGCATGATGCTGTCATATTAATTTGTTTTGAAGTGAATTAGCACCAAGGAAAAAGGTTATCAAGTTTCTTTCATGGAGAAAAACTAGTTACATATACCTCTAACTCAGGTAGAATTATGTAATTTTGCTCAAAGTTTCAGTCAAATAATAACGACCTTTGAACTGCAGAGAGAAACATGAAATTTCAATTATTTTTTTAAAATTATAAGCAACTGAAAGGATAAATTTAGAATAAAATGTCCTTCTCAACTTTGACTCAGCTATTGCCATGCTCAAGTGTAGAGCATCCAAGATTTATATAAACAGGGCTGGTCTGCAAGCTAGGTCAGACCCACATAGTGACCGTGCATGTGAGATCCAGCAGATGTGGAGCAGCCAGAGTGGGCACTGCAGTCAATGCAGTCCTGTTCTGGCTGCTCTGTGGCCATACTGTATGTATAGACTAGTCTGGGCTACTCTAGGACACACCTGGTACTGCCCTATGGCAGCTGCTCCAAGACCAACAGAGCATATGCTGCCTGTGGGTCAGCTCTGAGACCCACAGGCATCACCAGGGGCCAGATGATAGGGGTCAGTGGGCCAGATCCAGCCCGTAGACTGCATCTTTGACATCCGTGCAGTAAACTGTTAGGTACCTGTATAATGATTAATTATAAAACATTAATCTAGCCATGTTTAATATGATAGTATTAAACACAGACCCCATTATGGTGTTATACAAAGGACTGTATAGGGGAAAAGCAGTTTTAGGATGAAAGGGACAAAATGTCTACAGAATCAATTTCTTTCACCTCTCTGTTTCTAAAGGAATTGAAAGGAGAAACTAATTATAGTGAAACTAGACATCCTTCTTTTGTACTTAGGCTTGGCAAAATTCAATTTTTATTTTTTTAAACAATTTTGACAGCCAAAATAAACATTTATTTTTAAGCATTTATTTAGATTTTTATAGATTTAAACTTTCAGGATCGCGTTAAATTAACATGCAGGGGTGTGTGCATGTATGCACATATGTGCGCGTGCACACGCACTCACAAACATGCCCACTTCCTCCTCCAGCCCAGCATGCAGGTGTGGGAGAAGTTGTTGTGCTGCCAAACTGTCAGTCCACCTTCCAGCACCTGTGCACAGCACCACTGAGCTCAGCGCCTGCTTTCTTGGTCCTGTGGCAGTTGCTGCCCCCAAGCATCTCCTGCTCCCTGACAAGGAAACCTCTGGCTGCTGCAGCACCATCTGCTCCCTGCAGCCAGCAGCTCACTCTGCCTGCTGGCTCCCACCAAGTTTGCAAGGGAGGGCCCAGCTGCCTTGCACCCTGCAGATATTGAGCTCAAGCTGGGGAGGCGGGAGCACACACACATGCGCGTGCGCCCCTTCACTTCCGTCTTCTATTCAGCAAGGAGCCTGCCTGGGTACTGCAGCAACAGTCTATTCTTACTGCCTTTTTTTATAAATTTAAATTATTAAAAATGGAAATACTTTTCTGTCAGTCTGTGCATGTGAGGTGAACTCACAGTTTACCAATAAAAACTGAATCCCACCAAGCCGAACTTTACTGTAGTGTAACACAATTTTTCAACGTCTTCTAAGTGGTGATTATCTGACATAACAATGACATTTAAAGGTTAACTTTTTTCTCTAGCTGTCAGGAGGGAGGTTAGAAACTTGTTTGGCTAATTTTAGCTGTTCTTCTGGTAGAGTTTTGTAGAGTGGTTTTAATGAATTTCTTCCCTCTCCTGTATGGCCAGTGATTTATCTATGCAAGTTACACTGATTTTGGCTTGAAGGCTGTGTGTGTGAGTTTAATACTTTCACTGTCAATACAAGATATTCATAGAAAATGGACATAGTTTGGATTCAAGCATGGCAGAATAATTTTAAATGTCATCTGCTTAGGATATTTTAGGATTGAAACAGATTATGTAGTATATCGATAACCACTAAGTCCTTTCACTGGCAGTTTGCCCCCTAATATTAATTTCCTCTTAAAATATTATTTAGGTAATCCTAGATGAGTGCCAGGTGCTTTATCTGCATATAATTACACAGGTCTTTGCCCCAAAGGGATTGTACACAAAAAAGGGCCTGAAATTCCCTTCGTTTTTCGTCTTTTTCAGATTTCTATTCTTTAGATTTATATCTGCTCAAATACTGGATTTGGCCTGCTTGGATATTTTCCTGACCTTTCTTTTAAAAATTGTGTAAACTTTCTTTAAGATCTTTTCTTTATCTTACTTTCCGTGAAAAATAAAGATCTGGTTTCTCTGTACTTTTGCGTATTTATTCTGTGATCTTTGGGTGAAATTCTGACCCTACTGAGGTAAATGGTAAAGCACAAACTGATTTAAATAGTGCCACAGTTCTCCTCTGACTACACTTCATACGTTAAGTGCTGTCACCTATACCCATAACACTGATTTTGTAATCAGGTTAGTTAAACTGTAGACAGTGCTGAAAAAGAGACCCCATTGTTTCCTTATTCAGGGAAAAATAATTTAAACTTTTAATATTTTTATAATTGCATTTGATTAATGATGATTGTTATACTGCAGGTCACAATTGTGCCTCTGATATTAATTTTCTTTTAGTGTAATCAATACGCAGTCAACCACCAACTCCTTGCTTGTGTCCTGGTATTTGAGTGGATGCCTTCCCTTTTATTTGCTCTTTTGAACTTAGTGTCATTACCTTACATTTCTACTACTGACTGGTAAATCATTTAGTGCTAGTATTTTTAGGGCATGTCTACATGTGCCTGTAGGGTGACATAGCTACTGTGCTGTGCTTTAATACTTCTTTTTGGAAGTACTAAAGCATGGCAAAGTAGCAGCCTATACTATGCCGTATGCCAGGTATACGGTTATTTTTAGCTGCTATTTTGCCTTAGCGGCACGCTATATTGAGGAAACACGCCACGAGAGCTGGCCCTAGAGTACAGCAAATCGGGGTGACTGCCCCAGGCCCTGCACTTTGTGGGAGCCAGGCAAAGCCCCACCTCAATTCATGTCCATGAGAGTGGGAAGGTGCTGTACAAATTAATAATGCAAAAAGGCAGGCAAATCTATTCTCTATCTATCCACTGTCTTCACTGTAACAGGGCACTGGGGTGTGCCTGTGCCTACAGCTGGAGGCTCAGCCCCGCACTGTGGAAGAAGCACGGAGACTGCCTCCCCTTTGCAAAGGTACCACAGCCCCACACTGTGTTAAGGGGGCTGACACAGGCTCATTTGTCCTGGACCCTGCACTCAGCTCAGGCCGGCTCTGCATGCCGCTGTGGTGAAGTAGCTGCTGGTCATATGTAGACATGTGTAGTTGCTAGTCCCACCCAGTACCTTAACAGTGTTTGTGACAAAAGCTAAGTGAATCATTCCTACCGAACAATGAGTATAGTCTCTTTTTCTGTTCTTAGAATTTCAGTGGTTAAATCAAGATTTACTATAATTCATTTATGTGAAAGTTTTCGGTAATTAATTTTCCATAT